TGGAAAATCTGAAAAAGGGGAAAAATAAGATCATGGGAAATTCCCTAGAGAGATGTAGAAGTACCAGCATGACTGTGCAGAGCACAGGCTCTCAACTGAGATAAAGGATCTGATTCTAGTGACCCACCCCTGCCTGAAGAGGCACAGGAAGACGAGTAGGACGGCCAAGGGAGAGTCTCTGCTGCAAGAGAAATCACCAGGGTCTGATGGAAAGGGCAGAAGATGATGAGCAGATGCACAGCAATACGTGCATCAGGGTGAAGGAGAGTACAACACAGGAGGAGAACTCAAACGAAGGAAGAAAACAGTGGCCTAAGAACAAATTAATACCTTTACTATGGAGTTAATGAAAGTTGCTAAACTTCAGAATCACTGAGAGTGTGGAGCAATGTACCAGCAGCTGCCATTCTGGGAGGGATTAAAAAATTAACCTATTATTAAAATGTATATCAATTTGTTTATGGAAAATATTATATAAGGTGGTGCCAGTAGAAGCAGGGAAAAAAGGGAAACAGAAAACAAGACTTCCAAATACTTTTTTTATTAATAGAAGGATTTGGTTCTCAGAATTCATAGTGGCAGTTTAAGTTTTTTCATGTTTTCCTGCATATACAATTATTTTGTTGTCCAGCTCCAAAGACCTTTGACATATACCAGAATTTAAAGAACAAAACCTCAAGCTAATCTTCTTTAAACAGTGTGTGCTAATTGGAAAGGCAGGAAAACGTGAGCAAGTGTGAGAAGAGATGCCTTTGAGTATAATTTCAAACACCAAACTATTTTGAAACTCAAAAGATTCTATGCATAGATTTGGTTGTGGGGCTGTTTTTAAATGAATGCATGCAATTAAGAGATATATCCTACACTCTGCTGCAGTTCCCTTTACAAAAGCAAATACAGAGGGAAACAAGAACTTAAATGCAGTGTTACCAAAACAGCTCCACGGCACTGCTTCCAATAAGATGAGAGTTAGCAAAAACAAAATACCTTAAAGATCAGAAATTATAAGAGAAGCACCTCTCTGGGAGCTGAGACAACAGGTTTCACTCACTGCACTTCCCTGGAGAGGTTTCTGCAAATGAGTCTGAGCAGCCTGGCAGGAGCCAGGACACGGAGTGAGCGGGAAGCCCTGCACCCTGCTGGGGACATGGAAGGATGAGCCCCTCTCCAGGCACACCACGCCTGTTCCTTGGGAAGCCTGCACACACATGGAGAGACCCGCTCTGCCATCAGTCATGGCCACAAATAAGGCTCTCAGACCTTCTCATCTCAATAACCACCCTCAGCAATGCAAGAGATGAACGTGGTAAACAAAAAGTTGTATCAAGACTCCAGTAGCAAGGAGGAAGCTGCTCTGAAGAACAGGTGTAATGCTTTCACAGGAGTTAGTGATCAAATGCAGCATAAGTAGGAGTAAAATCTAAAGCAAAAGGTTCAAAACACACAGAATTTCTCCTGCACCTGCCTGGATTTCAGAGTACTGTTAGCAAACTTTGATCAGGCAAAGTCCTCCTCTGCCCCCGGCTGCCCAGCTCCACAAGAAACTGATTTGGGTTAAAAAATATCAACTTTTTGCTGCTTCTCCACATGGCTCCAGAAGCAGCTGTACTGACAGAAATGATGGTACAGCAAAGAGTTTGTACAGGTGAAAACTACTTCCAAAGCACGTCAGTATTCTCAGAGTTGAGAAGCCTCAAGTAGATCTTACCAGCTGATTAAAAACATTACAGGGATAAAACCAGAAGCCTTCAAGGCCAGGTTGGATGGGGCCCTCAGCAACCTGCTCTAGTGGAAGTTATCCCTGCCCATGGCAGTAGGGGCTGGAACTGGATGATCTTTAAGATCCCTTCCAACTCAAACCATTCTATGGTTCCACAAGAGGCAGCCAAAGAGACTCGGTCCTGGTGGAGTGTCCTGCTCACTGAAAGAGGTTCTTTCCTTCCATAACACAAGATGTGCAGGAGTCTCTATTTCATAATTATTCCATAGGAGTAAAATGATTAAACTAAAACCTGCATTTGTCTAAAAATCACTTGGCCGCTTTTACAAAAATCATCATGCTGAAATCAGGAGAGTGATGATGAAGTGTAGTCTGCTTTTGTCACTCTCTTTCAGACAGTAAATCAAAACTTGCCAAGAATCAGCATAAATACAGTTAATTCATCACAGTCAATTGTCACTGCCAGCTGGCAAAGGTCACAGAAGAAAATGGGGTACCAAGTGTAAGTACTCTTGCTTTGAATACTTGTCAGAAAAATTAAGCATCCTTTCCTCTTGCAAGAGCAGGAAAAGCAGAAGCATTCAGTTTCTCTTCCCTAAAGCTTCCCCTGGTTACACTTATGAGCTTCAAACTTCCGTTTCCTGTTTTTTGCAGCAAGGGGTTTAATCTTTTCTAATCTCATCCAACTATTAGGCAGAAACTCTCCCACCTGGCAGTAAGTTGTGGCTGGTTTCCAAAGACCCCCTCCTACAGCACCCAGCCCACGTGTCAGCACGGCAGCTGATGGTTTTCCTTCCTCAGACAAAGCAGCTGGACATGTGAGAAGGACTTGTTGACCCTCCTTTTGAACACATCACTCTTGTCATGGACACACAGACAGGACTGAAAAACTGCATTATGTTTTGTTGAAGGAAAAGTAAAAATGAGAGGCTGTGGTTGGAGCTGGAAGGAGCAGCTCATAGTCAGAAGCGAGACCAACGTGATCCTGAGCTTGTGGGTCAAAGTCCAGAGATGTGTTGGCTCAGATGTGCACCAAACTGAACAAGTGTTTCCCATTAGCTCACTGAACCTCAGTGCTCACTGACCTGTTCACCATGGTGGGGAGAGACGAAATAACCTGGAACCTGGTCTGAAACGACAGAAATATCTGTCTAGGCTGTCTTGTCTGCCTAGCCCCTATCAGAGCCCCCGACCCACGATGATTTGCAGACTAAGACTTCCTACATCAGAAGCCTCGCTGCAAGACCACAGGCGCTTCATCAAGGCAGAGAGAGCACCACACAGGCTTGCTCACAACCTTGAGCCTTCGGGCAAGCCGCAACACAACAATCACCAGGAGCTAGGTGTGTTCAGGCTTGCTCCAGGGCTACATGCAGCAGAGATGGCGCTACACCGGAGCACCCCCGTTTCCTTCACAGTCCCCGAGTAACAGGTTCGGCTTGGCAGCTTTCCCCAAGGCGGCCCAAGAGCCCTGGGAGGAGCCCCACGGGAGCTCGGCAGCCCCGGCAGGCAGCGAGGGGAGTCCCGGGAGCGGCTGACACCACCGGCTATAATTAGCGCAGCGCAGCCCGCAGGGCTTCCCCGGCCGGCGGGAGCCTCGGAGCGCCGGGCGCGGAAGCTCCCAGGGACAACAACTCCGCTGCACGGGACGGGACACGGGAACCGGGGGCCTTACGAGTCACGGCTGGCACCGGCGTCGCGCTCCAGGAGGACGATGTGCCGCGGATAGTGGGCGCAGACCTCGCCGTGCACGTTGGGGATCACACTGTAGCGATAATCGCGGCCGAAGAGCTCCAGGCACCGCCGCTCGATCCGCTCCACCTGCGCACAGCCACCGCTCAATGCCCGCCGCGCCGGTCCGCGCTCCCCGCGCCCCCCGAGCGCCGCTGCCCTCACCTTGGCAGCGGCGGCACCGCCGCCGTCCTTGGCGCGGTACTGCGCCCGGGAGAACTCCAGCAGCAGCTCGGCCAGGGAGCGGTCCCCGGAGCCCGCCGGGGGGCAGCCGCGGGCCGCCGCCGCCGCGCCGCGCTCCGCCCGGCTACGGAGTGCCGCTCCGGGGGCACCGCGCTCCGCCCCGCCACCGAGAGCTGCTCCGGGGGCACCGCGCTCCGCCCGGCCGCCGAGTGCCGCTCCGGGGGCACCGCGCTCCGCTCCGGCACCCGCAGAGAGACGCGGCAAACGCTGTCAGGCCTCGCCGAGTGGGTCCGGCCGTGGCGCTGGCGGGCGTGCCCAGGGCGCTGCCCTAAAGAAAGAACCCCGAGGCGGGTTTTAATGAAAGAGGCGCCTCCCAGAGTGTGCTCGCACGCACTGAGCCCGTGGCGGAGGGGCTGCCGGGGGAGCGGTGTCGCTGCCCGGAGCACGGCTGCGGGCGGCACTGGCTCGTGTGCCCGGGCAGTGTCACGGAGCCAGCTCGGGCTGTGCGTGCCGAGGGTGACAGCACTGCCCGCGCCCAGCCGGAGGCACACGGCGCCTTGGCTCTTCAGGGGAACACAATGTGGTTTTCATCTGCGTTTGTCTGATTTGCAAATCAGCTGCGAATCTTCTCAAACACTGAATGACAGCCGAGTTCAGCCGCAGCTAACGCGGTGCATCTCGTTGCCTGAGAATGAAACCGGCCCGGCATGGTTCGGTCTCCGCTGGGTTTGGGACCGCTGTGGGGCTGTCGGGGCGGTGGCAGGATTGCGCAGGGGCACCTGCCGGCATACGAGTGCTCACAGCCTGTGTGACACTAGCGGCACAGCCGCTTACCCCAGCCCATCACCCACCGCACCCAGCCTGGCGCACCCCAGCCCTGTCACCACACCTGACCTGGCACAGCCATGCACCTGGCCTCGCTCTGTCAGAGATTTTGGGTCGACTCCTGCTGCCACAGTGGTGGCAACTTCCTTGCTCCGTCCCCGGCAGGAGGGCGGGGAAGGCCCGCCGCCCGTCCCGGGGCTACGCCGGCAACCCGCGGGCCTCCCCGGGACGCGTGAGGGGCGCGGGAGCATGGGCGCTCTCCCTGCGGCCGCACTCCGGCCACACGCAGCCACGCGGGGACCCTCCAGCACTTATCGGAGCCATGCCCGGGCGGGGTCGGTCCGGGGAACGGTCCTGCGGGACCGGGGGAGAGGAATGGGCCCAGCGGCCCGACCCGAGCCAAGCCTAGTGGATGCGAGCCGAGCCGAGCCGAGCCCGTCGCTCGGCCGAGCCCGAGGCGGGCGCAGCAGGAGGCGGCGGAGCGCTCCGATCCCCGGGGGGCGGGCTCGGCGGGGCTCGACTCGGCTCGGGCTCGGCGGGGCTCCGGGCNNGCCGACCCCGGGCGGGCTCCCCGCCGCCCCGGCCCCTCCCGCCCTCCGGCAGCGGCGGCCGGCAGGATGCTGCCCTCGCAGGAAGCCTCCAAGCTGTACCATGACAACTACGTGCGGAACTCGCGCGCCATCGGCGTGCTCTGGGCCATCTTCACCATCTGCTTCGCCATCATCAACGTGGTGGTCTTCATCCAGCCCTACTGGGTGGGCGACAGCGTTAACACGCCCAAGCCCGGGTACTTCGGGCTGTTCCACTACTGCGTGGGCAGCGGGCTGGCGGGCCGGGAGCTGTCGTGCCGCGGCTCCTTCACCGACTTCAGCACCATCCCCTCGGGCGCCTTCCAGGCGGCCGCGTTCTTCGTGCTGCTCTCCATGGTGCTGACGCTGGGCTGCATCACCTGCTTCGCCCTGTTCTTCTTCTGCAACACCGCCACCGTCTACAAGATCTGCGCCTGGATGCAGCTGCTGGCAGGTACGCACCGGCACCGGGAGCACCGGCCTGCCCCGGGCCCGGCGGCGGGGGACGGAGGGGAGAATGTGGGCAGCGCTGAGCGTGCGGCACCGTGGGATCCCCGGCAGGGCTAGTGGGGTCCCTGGCTGCAGGGAACAGCGACGTTGCTCAGGGAAGCTGGGCTGGGTCCAAACACTGCAGGGCCGTGGATCCAGGATCCAGCCCGTAGTTTCTTGGGACACCCAGGCCAGGTGCTGGTGCTGACAGATGAGTGGGAATGGGCACCCGTTTGGGACACTGGCACCGAGGGCTCCCTGGTATCCCCTGGCCACGAGGACCACAAGGGCTGCTCCAGAAAGCTGGGCTGGGCACAGGTACTGTGTGTCCATAGGGCATCCCAGCCAGGAGCTGGCCCTAGGATGTCCCAGGCCTTCCTGGGACAAGCAGGCCAGGCACTGGCACTGACAGAGCACCACAAACAGGGATTGGCTCTAGGCACTGTCTCCCCAGGCAGAGGTTGGCCACAGGGAACATTGGGATCACTCAAGGAAGCTGGATGGGTACAAGCACTGTAGGGCCATGGGTCCTCTCAGCCAAGAAGTGTCCTCAGGACACTCCAGGGCTTCCTGGGACATCCAGACCGGGCACTGGCTCCAGGAATGGTCCCACCTACTCAGCACACTGGAGCCTGGGATTCCGCAGGCGAGGTCTGACCCCAGGGAAACATGAGGCTCCCTGGGACACAGCCAGAGAGCTGGATCAGGGACCCACCTCAGGTGACCCCAGAACAGGCACCAGCCCTGGGACACCCAGACAGTCTGGACAGTCTGGATGGTCTGGACCCTCAAGACATCCTGGGCTAGGAACCCACCTTGGGGCACTTCAAGGACCAGCATTGGGACACCGTACAACATGGCCTAGGACACACTGGATCAGCCCCCTGAATCCCTGGGGATTCAGACACCAGCACACCCCACATCAAGGACTAGCCTCCCAGTCAACCCCAGGGTTGTGGGGTTGTCCCTGAGAGATTCCCACTTTAGGGGAGCACCCAGCCCCCAAAGGGACCCCACCACTGGAAGAAGCCCTTGCATGGATCCCCCATCCCTGTAAAAGCACCCTTCAGTTCCCCCTTAAAGACAAATTGTACCAGGCCCCCTCTCTCCTGCATCATGAAAGGGCTGTGAGGATAGAGGCCTCCCCCAGCTCTCTCCAGTGCTTCCCACAGAGGTACACCATACATTTCCCTTGATGTCTCCCCAGACATGACCACTCAAGCCCAGTAATTAACCCCCCCCCAAAGTGACCCTGTCTATAGATCCTCCTTAGATCCCTCCACAAATGAAACCCCACTGAGGATGTACCCCAAGACCTTCACTCCTCAAAGTGACACTCTACAATAACCCAGACCTTTCCCCACAAGGGGACATGATGCCTATATTGGTAGGGATCCCAAGTATCCCCTTATGCACAGACTTCCCAGGTGTCCTCACACAGGGTCTGTCCTTTTGGGAGAAAGATCCTGAGGAATGATGTGGAGCTTCCATTGGTAGCAAGACCCTTCACTTCCTTCTCTGCACAGTTTTACACAGGTGTGGACAAACACTTACTCTCCACTGCACAGTAAGTGTGAATAGACCTGGAGCTTCCACTGGAAGGATCTACAGTGCCCCTTGTTCCTAATGGAACGACCCCATTCATCCCCTCTGTGAGAAGGGCCCCAGTCCTTGATGTGGAAGGATGCAGCCCCTCCATGAGGACTTTCAGCTAGCCCTGCTCTATCCCTTGCAGCTGGCTTGGGCTGGAAAGCTTGACCTCCCCTTACCCAGATCAGGACCACAGCCAGACCTGGAGCTGCCTTGGCTTATCAGGAAATTCCCTCATCTTTAATTTTCCCCGTCCTGAAGATTTATCAGTTTAAAGCAAGCTCAGAGCCCAAATCCTACCGATTGTCGGCAGCTTAATCAAGTGGCGTGGAGTGCCCAGCTGCTGCTGCTGCACAGGGAGCTGTGTGACAGCACTGCACTGGAGGCAGCCCTGGGTCTTCTCCCCAGTGCCTCCTGTCTGTCCTGGCTCAGGTTTGGGTGGCCATGACAGCTCTTTGCTGTTGTCACCTCTGGGTGCCTTTCACCTTGCCTTGGGGCTTGTCCTTGGTGACACTTTGCACCTTGTAATTACACGTGTTGCTGAAAACTGCATTTGTGGGAACCCTGAGTGCTCTTCTTGCCCCAGCCAGCCCAGGGTGCCCAGGAGCTCTCCCAGAGCACTGTGGCTCCATGGCTTCTCTGTCAGGGAAAGTCCAAGGCACCATTAATAGAGACTGGCCCTCCACCCTACCCTGAGACAGGACAACATGAGAGAGCTGCTGTCCTACAGGACAGGCTGGTGTTCTCTTCAGGGAGGGCCTGGATGCAGAGGTGGTGGTGTGGTGTGTCCCAGCAAGAGAGTCTTGTCTGGCAGGGGTCAGGCAGAGCCAGACTTCCCTGGGAATGTCTGAGGCAGCCACAGGTGGATTGTTACCTTGTGCATGGAGAAGGAGCTGCCATGACCTATGGAGAGAGTACCATAGGCCAGATCTTATGGGTAAGGCAGGAACACAGCCTGATGCAGGCTCTGGCACGTCATTATGGCAAACTTCAGAGATTCACCTGGCTGGGAGGTTGGAGAATTCTGTCAGAGCCGAGAGTTTGGAGGAGCAGAAAGGACAGGAAATTCCTCCTGCCTCAGTGAGGGTTTAGCTGAAGAAGGACTTGCACTACTACGGCAGAAGCAACTGTGAGGCCCAAAGTCTCTTGGTCTCACTGGTGAAAGCCAGGTGAGGCAGGTGATGGGCAGAGAGATGGAGCAGAGGTGTCCCCACCCATCCCTGTGGCATGGCCAGTGCAGAGTAAAGGGCTGCTGATTGTGAGCATGGATGGGCTCTTCAGAGGAGAAAAAACAAGTGCAGGAATGTGGGGGAGCAGGATGAGGAATTCCAGATCTCTTTCAAAAAAACAAAAAAACCCGACCAACTTTAAATCATCGATGTCTAATTAGTGGACAACAGTAAAAGCAGGGTTTAATTAAAGCTTGACAGAAAGCTCCAGCTCAAAAGCCACTGCCCCCCTAGGAGGAAACTGGATCTAATTAAGAGGAAAGACTCTGCTTTATCGCAAATAGAAATGTGGCCATCTGCCCTGTTCAAAATCCCAGTAACGCAAAACTGGAGATTTTGCTAAATCCTTCTGTTATAAAACCAGAGATGGGTCCTTAAAATGAGCACGTCAACAACTGTGTGACTGACAGCACCTGATGCCACCCCAGAGCTCCAAACTAGTGGAGGAGCACCTTCAGAAAGTTCCATGGGATGATGCTTGAAGAGAAATGGGCTGTGAGGGTGATCCCCCTTGGGCTTTGTCTGCAGGAAATCAGAGCATAGGAATACACCACGACCAGGCCACCCAGGAGCCTGAGCATTTCCTCTGATTCCCCAGTACTCTGCTGTAGCATGAGACACAGTCACCCTGTGAGTTTACTCTGAGCTTTGAAGAAAGTTGTCCTGGTGCCCAGCACTGATGCCCCTCAAGACAGCCCAGCCAGCTCTGTGTGACACTGCATCCATGTGCCTCCCATCAGGATGATCACCCTGAGTGGTAGCCAGGGTTGTTTCCAGAGGGCCTTTGGTTTTGTACTTACAGTTTATTGAGGGTCAAAATAGGCAGCCAGCTGAGCACACCATCCTGCTTGCATGGAAGAATTGACTGGCCATATTTTAAGGTGTTTCCCTGTGCTCCAGGTCCAGCAGTCATTGTGGTGAGACCTTCACACTCTCTCTGTTAGGGATACACGGCACATGGGGTGCCTTCCCACCTGGGGTCATGCTCTTGGCCTTAGAGCTGGGCTTTGTCCTTATCAGTGGCATTTTGGCATTGATTGTGCCATGTCCAGCCACCTTGCCTGATGGAAAATGTGGTGATACATAATCCATCTGAGCTCTTTTCTCCTTTGGGAGACTCCCTTCAGAGCTACACTCACCTCTTGGATGGGCCTTTCCAAGGCTGAGATCAGAGGGCTTCATCTTCTGCACCTCAGCTGTGTTTGCCACTGTCTCAGTGGGGACCCCTTGCATGGCATGGCTTTGGCTCATCCATGGAGAGGAGTAGTGAGGGAATTGTTGCCAGCTGCTGGGCTGAGCATGGTGGAGCTCTGTGGTGGTGTGGCCTCAGCCCCAAGGGAAGGCAGGAACTGGCCTGGGTGAGCCCTACAGCCCCAAAACCCTCCCTGGTTCTGGCAGCAATGCAGTGGCTCTGCTGAACCACATCAGGACAGGCTCATCTTCCTGACTGTGGAGACCCAAGTCCTTTCAGAGACTTTGAGGTTTCAAAGTACTGTTTTCATGGATATAAAAGTCATTCATTGAAATTCTTGATGAAAAAAATATGAGGCAGCTATTGCTGCAAACTGGCTTGAAGTGTAACTGGGACATCTGCTGAGCATGAGACTGCCCAGGGAGGTTGTGGGGTCTCTGGAGTCCTTCAAAACCCATCTGGACATGTTCCTGTATCACCTGCTCTAGGTGACCCTTTGCAAGAGGGTTGGACTAAATGATCTCCAGTGGTCCCTTCCAGCCTTAACTGTCCTGTGACTCTGCAGTTTATCCCCAAGCCCTTTCCCTGTCAAAGGGAGCAATATTGCCTGTATACCAACCACTTCCACCTGCTGACCTTGCAGCAAGAACAACAGCACCGCAACACCCCTCAGCATTGCTGAATTACTGCTTCCTGGACCCCAAAAAAAGCTTTCCTGAAGATTCCCCTCTTCTTCCCCTACCTCAAGGCTTGCAGAGGGGACAGGAGCAGGGCTGCAGCCCATCCCTTGCATCCGTGCAGCAGCATGCACTCCGCAGCAGCAGCAGCAGCGCTCAGTGTGCCCGCGTACTCGCGGGGAGGGGCTGAGCCGGGCGTCTCGTGTCCTGGAGCTTACATCCCTGAACTGTTGTTCCAGATAAAGTAACTGTCAGTTCTGATTCATACAAACTCATAACTCTATTCTGAATCCTGCTGATTTTTTGGCACACAAACAGCCTGTGGAGCAAAACGCCGTAAGGGAGCTCGTGTCTGTGTAAATGGCCGGTGCTCGCCGCACGCTGCCCTTAATGTCGGTCTATTTTTGAGGGATTTCAGCTTTTAGGGGGAGGAGGGGGGACTGTGTTTGTCCCCTTTCCTTTTGGTGCTCAGCTCTCAGGAGGTTTTCTGGTGAGAAGCAGCTACTTTAGACCCCAACAGTACAGCCCAGCCCCTGTTCCCTGAGTTTTTGGATGTGCTGTCCCCGTGCTAGGTTTAAAAAGCCCATTTTGGACCCAGTGATTGCTGGTTTTCCCCCCATTACCTCACATCTTCCCGTTTGTGTGTTCTGTGGTGGTGTGATGCTCTAGGGGAGGTCACATCTCAGCTGCAGGTCATGTCCTGAGCTCCTTCCACCCATGGCAGGCAGAAGCAGTAAAAGCCAGTTTTCATTCACACCTGCAGACTGAACTAGACAGAAAAAGTAATTTAAAAAATCAGGTTTTAATCCTGCAGGCACAGCTGCTCAGGACAGGGGCAATGGTACTCAGCAAACATGAGGGTTACTCAGACAGTCCAAATTAGCTAAATGCACCTTGTACCAGGAGATGTTGTCCTGCCAGGAGGAGCCTCCTCTTTCTGCTCAAATCTTGCTTCAGTGTTGCAGCCTGAGTCATAACATTGCATTCCCTTTGATTAATTTATTTTGTGAGGATATCAAAAGCCCTTGAGATGCCCATGTTGTTTCTAATGGACCTTGACAAGGGAGCACTGAGGAGTGAGAAGCCGTGAACCAGCTGTAAAGCCAAGAAATGCCAGCTTTATGGGGTCAGAGCCCCAGCCCCAGCAGGATCATCCTCCCTCTGCATGCACCCTGTCCCAGTGATCACTGAAATGCCTGCTCTCAAAACTGTCTTTACAATTGGAAAAACTCTGGAATAGGGAGTTGGAGCCCAGGCCCTAGGGGCAGGATGGCAGCTGTGGGGTATGACAGACCAGCCAGCCATTCTTGGTGGCACTGACAGTGAGGACTGGCATCACACACTCAGAGTAACAGGAATTAAAAGCAAAATGGACAGCAGTTGGATTTTTTCCTCTTTAATAGTGGCTCTTCATAGGAGTCATCACCTGGTGCTTTTCTTGTGGTTGCAAGGCATGGAAATTGGCTGCTTTAAACAAAACCCAAGGTTTTCCTACAGAATGGTGCTGTGGGCAGAGGGATGGGCAGGCAGAGCCCCAACCCTGCATCCCTCAGGCCTGTGGGAGAGGCCAGCACACAGCCTGTGGACCGTGTGAGGATCCCCTCCTTGTTCTTGCTCTGCTTTTCAAAGTCGCTCCTTGCTGCAGGCACGGGAAGGTGTTTCCAGGACATTGGGTGGCCTGGGGAGTGCAGAAAAGGGAATTGCTTGTGACAGGGCAGAGGACTCAGCTTGCTGCTGGGAACACGTAGGGCAGATGGGAAGGGCAGAGCACTGAGCTGCTCTTCACCAGGAGAGTGCCTGCCTTCAGTAGCTCAGCCCCACCTCAGCCACTTCCCAGGGAGCTGTAGAGTAGTGAGGGGTTTTTGGGAAGAGGCCAGTCACCCTCAGGCAGAGGCATTTAGGTATGTGTAGTGACTTGGGCAGCCACCTCTGTACAGCAGTAAATTTGTTGTTTAATTCTGTCAAATGGGCTGTGAGGGCATGGGCAGAGATCCTGCAGCTGCTCGGTGGGACAGGGCTCAGACTCCCTGGTGCAGTACAGAGCAGGCACAAGGGGATGAGAGGGATCAGAACAAGCAGACACAGGCTGGAGCCAGGCAGTGTCCTGGCAGTGGCCATCACTGCATGTCCTCTGTGACTGTGCTGTGACAACCCACCACATGAGTGTGTCCCACCTTTTTGAGCCACACTACTTTAGCCTTAAACCCTGTCTCTCCTGTCTTCCATGAGTGCCGTGGCATTGCTGCCTGTCCTGCCATGTTTGGGACCTGCAGATGTCCCGGGAGAGCCTCTCACCTGTGGTGTTTTCAGAGCAGTGAGCTCTTGGCAGGCTTCTGCTTTACCTGGGCAGCTGGACGCACCTTTACCCCAATAATAGCTCAGGAATGCAGGGGACATGACAGTGCCTGCAGAGTCCAGGGACAGAGCCAGGGGCTGCTGTTCTGCTCCTGTGAAGGACTGGCTGAGGGCTGTGCACAAGGCTAGGAGCCTGCCCAAGCCCTTGCTGGTGTAGGTAAAATTGGTGCCTGATGTTTTAACTCATAATTGCTTACTGTCTTGGGCACAGCCCCTGTTCTCCTTTGGGCCCAGAGTGGTTGTTGCTGAGGCTTGCTGCCCACCCAGACAGCTGGAGCTGCTGCTTTCTGTGCTTTCTCCCAGCCTCACTGTGTGAGGACCTGTGGTCCTTTCCTCCTCTATGATTTCAGCAGATCTCTTACAACCCTGCCCATTTCCAGGCTGGGTTGTGCCAGCCTGAGCAGTGCTGTGGGGGTAAACCCACCCCTTGCTGGGGATTGTCACTGAGCACCTTAGCTTGTTCCACAGCTGCACTGCACTGGGAGCTCAGAGGATCCTAAAATCCTCTTAGCATCTCTGCTTTCACAGGAACAGTCCCTGGCACAGGTCTGCTGCACCTGATCCCCTTTAATTCAGGCCCTCAGCTGAATTAATGCCATCCTGTTCCAAGGTGCCCAGGTCAGCATCAGGCCAGGCTGCTCCTCACCATTTACCATGCAGTGCATGGCGTTGGTGCTGATTGTGTTTCTTGCAGAGGGATGGTTTTGGGTTGGCCCAGTCCCAGACAGGCTGTGCTTGGCCGGGAGTCCCTGGTGACGATGTGCTGGGAACACCAGCTTGGCTCTGTGCAGCCCTGTGGTGCTGGTGTGGCAGCAGGGCTGTGCATTGCAGTAAATCAGCATGCAGGGCTTGCCACTGTCCACAGACACCTTTACCAAGGGGGTTTGTTGTGTGTGTGGAGTAAGAGACCAGGCAGCAGCTGCGGCATGACATTATGTGCCAGCGTCCCTGTCCTTTCCTGGGTGCAGTGTGATGCCCTGCAGGCACTTGCCTCCCTCCTGGGATTTCCCTTCCCTATGGAAAGCAGTGCAAAACACATGCCAGCACCCAGAAAGCTCATGCCAGACCGCCAGCTGCCTGCCTGCAGGGTGTTTGCTGAAAGGGATGGGGAGAGAATTTGTTACTGGTGTGGGCACAAACATCTTGCTTCTTCCATAACTCAGGGCAAAAGTACCTGCAGGGCATCGCAGCCATCATTACTATTTTTAGCTTTTGCAGCTGATATGGGGTGAGGAGCTTTTGTACTTGCTGTAGTCAGAAAAAGTCACCTCCTTACCTTGATAGTCACAGGCTTTGTCTTGGCATTTCCATCCCTGTGTTCCCTGATGTCTCTTGCTCAGCACAGAGTGTGCTGGGTGGGGGCCTGCTGGGAAGGTGACCCCTCTGGGAGTGGTGCTTGCAGGCTGTGGGGTGGTCAGGTGTGGGGGCTCCTGGGGATTCCACAGGCAGCATCCCTGCCTGCAGTGCACCGGTAGCTCCTGCCCACCTGCAGGGAGCTCGTAGTGATGAGGAAAGCCCGTGGGCAGCCACTGATCCTGTGGCTGATGCTGGTAGAAACCAAGAGCCTGAAGTCCCTACTTGTGCGTGGGCCAGGTTTGGGACAGCCCAAAACGCAGTCCCTGGGGCTCCTGAGGCAGTGGTGGCTGTCACCTGCCACGTTGCCAGGCTGTCGTGGGGCCAAGGCGGGGTCCCTGCCACACACGGGCTGCACTCCTGTACTGCCTGGGGCGCTCAGCACCAGCACTGCCACTCCATTGTCTCTGATGCTTCCCCTCCTCTCCCTTTGCAGCGCTCTGCCTGGTGCTGGGCTGCATGATCTTTCCCGATGGCTGGGATGCAGAGACCATACGGGACATGTGCGGGGAGAAGACAGGGAAGTACTCCCTGGGTGACTGCTCTGTGCGCTGGGCTTATATCCTGGCCATCATCGGCATCCTCAACGCCCTTATCCTTTCCTTCCTGGCCTTTGTTCTCGGCAACCGGCAGAACGACCTGCTGCACGAGGAGCTCAAGACAGAGAGCAAAGGTCAGCACCGTGCTGCTGGGGGATCCTGGGTGGGAGCAGCCTGGGGGGCTTGGCCCCTCTGGCAGCCTGGCAAGGGTCCCATGGGCTTAACTGGCACCTACAAGGCAAGCCAGGCTGAGCAGGGTGGGAGGAAGCTGCTGAGCCTCTGCCCTGCCTGACCTCTCTCTCTTCTGTTTCCACAGATTTTGTTGGCACTGCGGTAAGCCTTGAGTGTCACTGTCCTGCCCCTTGTCCCTCTGTGGTGTCTCTGGGTGTGGATGTGCTTAGTGTCTGCGTGACATGGGATGGGATGGGATGGGATGGGATGGGATGGGATGGGATGGGATGGGGGACCCTGGCTGTGCAGGCAGCAGGGCTGGGGGCAATGGAGAAGGGAGGCAGCAGGGACAGGGTGGCAGGGATGGGGACAGGCATATGCCTGGCACATGCAAGTAGCACGATGGTGCAGTAAGACCAGCCCAAGTCCATCCCCAACCTGCTGTGCTTTCCCTGCAGAGGATATAAGGCCGACCATCCGCAGCAGGACCCTCTTCCCATGGCCGGCAGCCTGGGCGCTCCCTCCCTGTCCCGCCCTTCATTTGCTGCCAGCGGCCACACAGCGTCCCGCGCCGCCCTGCGGGCCCCGGTGCCCGCGCCAGGGATGCGCCAGCCGCCCGCCGCATCCATGGCCACCTCCATGTCCACGCCGGCACCGCCATCCCACGCACCCTGCCAGCTCCGTACCCACCGCTGCCTGCGGGCCGCCGCCGGGGGAGGATGCCTCAAACCCGCTTTGTTCAAGAACAGAATCCAGCTGCGGTTTTGTTTCAAGGAAAAAACAGTCTTGGAGTTTTTAACAGATTTCTACATCCCCAGGACTCCTGACCTGCTGCCTCCCACCCGAACGCGCACCCAGTGACGCCCCGTGCCGGCCGCTCCGGGTCCCGGACCCCTCCCCACTCCCATTTTGTACAGCTCCGTGATCCTGTCTCCACAGCCAGGGGACCCGGTGGCCGGGATGGGGCCCAACCCCTACTTTTACATGTAAATTCATATTCTCTAAACAGGGTAAAGTGACTCGAGCCCCCTCTCCCCCCGCTCCGGGAGTCCAGCCCAGGACACGGTGTTTCCTGGTGCGTGGCTGGGCCGCAGGCTGCTGCTCGCTCCCCTCAGCACGGGGACCGCAGGGGCCTTGCTGCTGCCGGCCGTGGGACACCCGACTCGCGCCGCCGTTGAATGTAAGCCCTGGTAAGTGGGAGCAGCTGAACAGGCAAAACCCCCGGGCGGGCACAGGAGGAACCCCCGCCAAGACCCCTCCCCGAGCCGGCCGCGGGCTGTTGCCAAACGCCTTCCCTCCCCATCCCCATACGGTGCTTTATCTCCACTGGTGACAGCAAGGCTTTCCCTGCCGCACGGCGTGGCCGGGTGTACCCGAGCACTCCTGTCCCCGCCCGGACCCTGGCTGTGCCTCGCTGGCCCGCGGTGGTGGCGGGCGGGGAGCCGGTGGCTGCTGCCCCGGGCCACACACCGCCCCCGAGAGCCGACACCCCGGCACGGGGGCTGCAGCCTGGCTGTGGCTCTGCTGGCCACGCCACCGTGTGTGGGCTGGCTTCCCCTGGCCACAGAGCCTTGGGTCACCGCAGCCCTCGCAATGCAATAAAGTCCTCAGCACTGGCCGTGTCTCAGTGCGAGCAGCCGGGGCTCCTTGCAGGGCCCAGGGCAGGGCCCCCAGGGCTTGTTGGAGCCCTGGCAGGGCTGGACCCAGGCACTGGGCAAGGCCAGGGAGCAGGGCAGCGGGAGCAGGGAGCAGAGTGGGACCACGGTGCTGGGATGGGGCCACGGAGCGTGCAGGCTGCCGGGGGATGGCGTGAGGGGCTCCGCAGGACCCAGCGCCTCACCAGGCACCAGCGGCGGGCTGGAGCAGGTAAGTGGTGCCCTGAGGCCCTGCGGGGTGGCGGTGGGGGATGGAGCTGTGCCCAAACACCATCTGGGAGCCAAAGCCACCCGGGATGGAGTGCGTGCCAGCACTCTGCCAGTGCCCTCCGCCAGCCACGAGCCCAGCGGTGCCCACATCCCTCTGCCAGCTGCCCCCAGAACGAGGTCAACAGGAACTCGCAGCGCCGGGTCTTGCCAGCCGAATTGGAAAAACAAACCAAGAAAATCAGTGGAGAAAGGAATACAGTAGCTGTAATATATCTGTATTTTAGTACAAAGTTTGATACAGTGTTTCACAAAACCTTATTGAAAAATATAATTCAAACCAGACGAGCTTGGAGCCCTGTGTTGTGGGGAAGGTTGGGATGGGTTCTTCCTGGCCACCCCCAAAGGAGGTGGGAGGCCAGAGAAGCCCCTGTGAGTGTCTTGAGCTGTGGTAAGCTTGGAGCCCTGTGTTGTGGGGAAGGGATGGGTTCTTCCTAGCCACCCCCAAAGGAGGTGGAAAGCCAGAGAAGCCCCTGTGAGTGTCTTGAGCTGTGGTGGGGAGCCCACCCCGCAGCCTGTGGAGCTGAGCCTCCACCCCTTGGGCTGGCACACAATGAGGGCTGGCCAGAGGAGTCTCCAGAGAAAGGGTCTGTCCCACTTCATGGCAAAGCAGGGGCTGGAGCAGGATCCCATCCATCCCAGGGAGCCTTTGAACCCGTCCCTTCTGCTTGTCCACAGTGCATGATGAGTGCTCTGTCAGCTCACTGACTTACACAGACTGACAGGAAAATTCATGAAATTAATCAAAAAAACTCCTGAAATTAATTGAATTCCAGTGTCTTGATGGAAAAAAAATACGTGGCCAGTCAGTTTAATGACATGCTCTGGTAGAGGAGTGGGGAGAGCATTCCAAGCTGTGTGAGGGCAACATGGGGAGCTCGGGGACTTGCTTTGGCCAGGTCTGGCTCCCCTGGTGTGGGACACGCTCACAGCCCAGGTGAGCCCTGCAGATGGCAGAAGAGGCTGAGAAGAGCAGGGCTGGTGCTACCCACAGTTGCTTTCAGGGGAGGAGTAGTGGAGATGGAGCCACTCTTTCGGGGGACACAAAAGGACAGAATGAACCATGACAGACGCTGTTCCACAGTGTCAGGGGGAATGTTCTCACAAGTGAGGGCAGTCGAAGACCAGAAGCCATGGGCACCTCAAACCAGCACTTGCAGACACACCTGGCAGGAGCCACACCAGGCTCAGCCCATGTCAGGCTCCCTAAGGAAAAGGCAAGCAGTATGAAAACCCTGGATACCAGGTTCTGGCACACCAGAAAACAGGTTTTAAAGCAGGTGCAGTGGTGCAGGAGACATCCTCCAAATCCATCTCCTCCCCAAATGAGCTACTTGGGCAAGAAGAACAGCAGCAGCAGAGCCAAAAATCTCACAACCCCAAGTCAGGGCATTTCCTAAGGAACAGCAACTCCCACAGCAACTCCTAGCTTCACCTGGCAGAAGGCAGGAGGGAGGTCTGCAAGGCTGCTCCTGCCAGGATTTGCTTCCCCTGCAGGAGACAGGGAAGAGAGACATGCCCTCACCCTCTCACCCTGTGTCCTGGGCACCAGTGCTCAAGGTGGTAAGAAATTCAGCAATACGAGTTTTCAAGTTAAGTATTTTTATTATCAAAATTATTACATCTCTTGTGAAAGTTCAAATGTTACAGCATGGTGTAAAAACTCCACTAGAGTAAGAAGCTACAGCCCCCACCTTTCCTAGAGCTTTCCAGGGTCCCTCCCTCCTGCCCCCCTAACTGCGCCCGAAGGTGCTGGAGCCTCTGGGCAGGGCCCCCCTGGCCCCCTCCCGCCGCCTGGCAGGGCAGAGCCCGTCTGCCCCGTGCTGCTCAGAGCACGAAAGGGGAGGCTGCACCTCCAGGGCTAAGCCAAGTGAAGTTTACACCTATGTTATACAGTATACAGACACCCAACTGCGGGGTGACAAGTTCCATCCCAACAAGCTCACAGCCAGACAGTGTGAGAAAGCTACTCTTTGTTTCAATATTTTAAAAGTCTCCCCTAGGCTGAACAAACACCTGATTTCAGTTGTGAATTAGAGAAATCTGTAACAGTCCTAAAAAAAGAGGAAGAAGACTGTGCATCTGCAAGGAGAGGGGAGACAGACTCACAGCATTATGTTATCCAAGAGAAAGGAGAAGTTCCACTGCAGCACCAGGGATGACACCTGTCATATATTAGCTAACCTACTATGGTTATAACTGAATATAAAATTAGATAAATAAAAACACGCCCGATATTACAGTAAACAAGTGAGAAAGAAGCTGGCAATCGTATGGAATTGAACACACAGCGCACTGTGTCTGGGCTGGCTCTCCTGCCACGCTCGGCGGGTGACAGTGGCTGGGAAAGACCCCACATGGCACTGCCTGGAGAGCCTCTGGCTCAGCACAGACCGGGGTGCCCACCCACCACCCCACCACTGCCCCTTGCACCCCCGTGTGCCGCAGCATCCCTTGACTGATGAGCCCCGGCCATCCCCTGTGCGCTGCACACCAGCAGCCACAGAGCCCCCGGCGCGGCAGCGCGGCCCCAGCCGTGCTCCTGTTCACAGATTCCTTAAGCGACCTCAAAACCACTCGTTCACGACAGACTGCGGTGAAGCAGCACACGACAGGCACCCCGGATCCTCTGCAGCCACAGGCACACGCTCCCAACCCCTCCCGTGCTCTTTGCATCTGCGGAGACTCTCCTGTCCTGGAAAAAGCTCCGACGGCGGCAGTGGCGACCCAAGCCCAAAGGCAGCCGTGTGCGCTCGTCTGCTTGTGACTGGAATGATCGTAACGGATTAAAGCCCTCCCCAGAACGCACTGAGAACCTGACCTATAAAGAGATTGGAGTTAACTTCCCCCAACGTTTCCTTTAAACTGCTTTTGAATTCAGAACTGTGTCCGTGCTGCATGTGTGACTGTGGCCATGGGCACGGACCAGAGACAGAGGCTGTGCCACAGTCATTGCACTTGAACCATTTTCTTTTTTTTTTTTCTTTTTTTCTTTTTTTTCCTGTTTGTTTCTTTTTGCTTTTGCAATGTACCCATATGTCAGGGAACTGCTTTGCTACAGTCTCTGCCTCAGAGAAATCTGTGTTCTCCTACCAGGCCAGAGGCCAATACTGCTCACAAATCTCACCCGTGCATGTTCGACCTCAGCCTCTGACCCCTGGCACCCCAGCATCAGGTGCAAGCTTCCAACACCAGCCCAGGAGCCACTTCCAGGGGTGACTGGAAGGAGCTATGGGCAGTTTTGTCCTCCTGAAGTCCAGGCAGCCCTAGGAAAGTCCTGTTTGAGTCTTTACTCCAGAACCTTGAAGCTGCTGCAGTCTGTACTGATGGACGCTGCTTCCCCCGCGGTGCGGGTAGTGTTGTGCATTGGAAATCACTGCGCCCCGGGAGCCCTGGTAGAGAGCAGCCTGGCCCGAGCTCGGCAGGCTGATAGTCCGCGAGTCTGACTGTAGTGAGCGAGCGCTTTGGGGAGCGGAGGCAGAGCCCGACACGCCTGTGCAGGGCTGGGAGCCCGACTCCGAGGAGAGAGAGTCCACAGCTGTCTGCTGTGCCGGGCTGGCAGCCGCAGGGCAGCTCTTCCTCAGGAGGCTGCTGCTGACACTGCCAGAGTGCTGCTGGCTGCTGAAATACCCCGAATTCCCTGCAAACAGGGCAGAGGAGTCTGTGGAGACCGAGTGGGCAGGGCTGGAATATGAGGTGGAGGAGAGGGATGTTTCCGAGGAACCATGGGACAGGCTGTGTCCTGTCCTCTGTGCTGCTGCTCGGTAGCTGTATCCAGGAGACGGCGCCAGGTGCCCTCGGTACGGGGAGGAGTTCTGCTGGAGCAGGGTCTGTGACTCTGCCTGGGGACTGTCAGACTGCAGCAGCTGAACAAGGCATGTGGAAAAGAAGGAAAATGCATGTCAGGCTGAATTCCCCGTTTCCTACCCGCTTCTCATTCTAAGGTGCTTAGTGCAGCACTGTGAACAATGGCAGCTAAGCACTGTTTCCCTCCTTATTAAAGCTTTATTTCAGAATGGGCAGATAAGGTATGAAAGCATTTACCTGGTAGCTGTATCGAGAAGGACTGTAAACTGCTGGTCCTTTGTGGGCTTCTGGAGTGTCTCCTTCTGCTGCATCTGCAATGCACAGGCAAGATGTTAAACCTCACCCCGCCAACTGAGGCCACAGCAGCTCCCTCTCAAATGACACTGCACAGTCCAGCCTCCCCAGCCACCACCATTTCAGAACCAAAGAAACCCAGCAAAAGACAACTGGGAAACCTTAACATGTAGGAACAGCCACATGTGTAAGAGTGGCCACTCCCCTCACACCAGTGTGCTCTGGTTTATCACAAAACCCACCTGCCTTGGACCAGCCTGTCTGAATGACCACGCCTGGAGATAATGCACAGACACAGCCAGGGCTGCTCTGGCTCTTCAGTAGGATATGAGAGGCAGAAGATGGTTTGTAAGGATTTGTAATTTCTCACTCAGTCTTAGTTACAGGAATCCACATGGATACAGTTACATCTTAGGAGACTAAACTGCCCCTATAGAGGGCTGTCAGCAGGATCTGTGGTGGGTTTTCCTCAAAGGCAGATCCCAATGCTTCCAAAGACAGACATCCCATGCTGCCATTTTGGGGACTATGGTTTACAAGCCAACTGAGCTGCTACAAACAGAGATAGTCCTGGAACTCAGAAATGCTTGTTTTTCTAACAGGCCAAGTTGATGGAAATGCTTTGAGGTTTGAGGGGCACTGGCAGCATACAGCACACTCTGATCCACCTCAGATATGCAAGAAACCAAGAGGAATAAAATGTTTCCTGACAGAGTAAGCCTTTCTTGCACTTCACAGGTGAGCGAGCTTCTTGTCCTACCATATCACTGAACTTGACCTGGGGTAGGCAAGAAGCACTCAGTGCAGTGACACAGCCACTGTGCCAACTGTGTGCTTCAGCTGCTACCCCTGTAACCATGGCTGGTGATGCTGCTTTCTGCAGGAGGGGTGAAGCTGCTGGGACTAGATGATTTCACATCAGAGCTCTCCTGCAGACTAATGAGACAGAACTGTTTATCTGCAGCATCTCAGGGATTCTCAGCAGCCGCATCTGAAATGCCTTGGTGAAACAGTGTTGGTATTAGTATCAAATTTATATGACAGATGTGTCTCAGTCATGAAACAGGACACGCTGCCTCAGTCTGCTCTGTACTTCTGCCAGACAAGTCTGGCTTTGCCCCAGCTGCACTGACACAAGCATCAGTGCCAGTAGTGCCCATGGTTCTGCTGCCATTGTCCTCTCTG